TTAGTTAGTAATTGGATTAAAAATTAAAATTTAATTTCACCGTCCAACCATCTACCTTCCACCATGATAATCCTAAGCCCCCGAGCCAAGTCATGACACGCTGCATATATGATATAAGTTATAAAAGTATATTCTTTCTTATATGATATGGTTTTACATATAATTGATATAACAAATAAAATCAAAAGAAATAATGAACCTAAGAAAATATCATAAAATTTATAAGGTAAAAATTATTAATCTTCAAAGATATGGTACTTAAAGAAGGCAATTCGGAATTATTTTAGTCAAAGTATTAGGAAAACAATTGAATAGATTAATGAACAAAAATGGAAGTAGTAGAAAATAATTTGCACAAAATAGTGAAACACCTCCTGCAGCAAAAAGCAAGAAAAACAATGATGCAAGAAAAACAATGATGCAAGAAAGAATGAAAAATGATGATTCATAAAACATATTCCAAATAATTGCGATAAGACCGAGGATAATGATGATGATGCAACTACAAAAATAAATTACTATGAAGCTTTACTACCCAAGCAGTTTATCAACTTCATGCTAATTGAAGTTGACTGGCCAAAAAGCATAAACATGAAAAAATAAGAAATTTAAAACAAATATATATTACCAAGCACCAATGAATCTTCCAAGTTGCCTATGGGTAAAATCCTAAAAAAGTGCCAACAGGCAGCATACTACTAATTTAAAAATAGGCAAAAGTCAAAAACATTTGGATTTAGCAAGTTCAGTAAAATAAAGTAGTCAAATTAGACTGGCAAATTATTGAGATCCTAAAACTGCTTTAACAACCCAACGCCTACGAGATCCATAAAGCTCCTCCAACGATAATTCAAGAAATTTTTGTTGACAAATAACTGAAGCCAAATATTTAAACGCATACAATTCTATTAAAAAAAACTAGAGATTAAAAAAATATAAAATATAATAATATAAGAGCAGGTGTCTAAGCACCTGGAATTCCAAGATAATGACTCGCCTAACTAGCAAGCCATGGTACCTTTCGTTCTCCAATAAATTGTCTGAATGATAATTTTTTTGTACAGAATCAAAAGTGTTCATTAACATGCCAAATTAACTGGTACTTATTAATCTTGGATGGCACAAACAATAAAACAAGAATCTTAATAATTTTGGATTATTTACATTCAGAAAACCTAGGAAAATATTGTTATACATAAATAATTTCATGGTTAACTATCGAATGGTTCCTTAGCTAGTTTGATGTTGAAATTAGTGGGAAAAATAGTGGAATCATAAACTGTCTTTAATAATAAAATACTGTTACAATATCACATAAACGGAAAATAACAATACCCAATTCGTGGCTGGACAACAATAAAGCCTGCAGAAAATGGGGTCAGTCGGGTGTTGGAGTGACAGTGGGGGGAGGCTGGTGGCTAGAAGTGAGAATAAGAAGGCTTGGCGAAAATAAAAAGAAATAATGCAATCACCACCTCCAAGAAAATACAGTCGGAGCACCACTAACTCCTCATATACAGCCCACAAAGAGGAAAAAGACTCCACATAAGAATCTGAAAAGAAACACAACCAAAAACTGACTCTTACACAGAGAAAACAGCAATTTATACTCTTACTAGGGGGAAATAGAAGAGAAATAAGAATTAAAACTCCCACACAAAAGAAAGGAAAGAATAATCCAGAAATGATTCTTGGGTGTGGTACCCTCCTTCCCGAATTGCAATAGTTCGTGATCATGCTCCTATTTTGTGTTTCTTCCTGTCTTCGAGTGGCCTATCCCGTGGAATTCAACACCCCAAACCATGCGTTGATTTAGCGCCTCGGATCAAGAATTGTTTCAGCACCCGTATATAGGCGTTGATTTAGCGCCCGCATCATTCTAATGGGGTTGGGGGAGCTTCGAATCATAGATCGAAGCTTCTGTTACGTCGTCAGCCACCCCACCCCTGGATGACACTGGCAACTACACTCTCCCAAGGTATTTGAGGGTGTCCATATCGTGTTGTCCTCTTGAGGTTGTGCACCACACCTATACTGTTGAATCTTCCCAAAGTAACTCACGATTGGTTCAATTGAGCGTGCAGTGAGATTAATTTGATCATTCTCGTACGGCGTTGACCTAACATACCCTTGGTTGTATTTGTTTTATATCTGGAGCGGGTGTCTTGGTCCTCTCGTTCGGTGTCATTATTAAAATTGGTCTCACTGACGTCATTCTACCGGTAAGGGCTCCTTTGATCTTAGGTGCTACCGAGGGAAATAAGATGATGTGTTTCCCATCCTTAGTGAAGGAATATGTGTTCCTAAATCCATCATGCTTAGTCCTCCAGTCAAACTGCCCCAGTCATCCCAACATAAGGCATTCATAGGGACCACAATAAACCACACCTGGTCTTGCAACTAACCTCCGATCGAAAATTCTACCAAACATCTTCAATCAATTCTAACCTGATTCTCCTTCAGCAACACCAGTGAATAAAACCGAGAATGCATTTTATTTGCAAGTCCTAATTTTTTTCATCTGAGACGATGTCACTTTCTTGTTGTTTCCACCATCGATGATTAAACTGCATGCATTTGTGTTCACTATGTTGTGGGTGTGGCATATGTTGTAGTGAAGCCATCATCAATGATTAAACGAATCCCTAGTGTACTTAGTTTATAGAATCCGTCGAATCTCGAGCGTCGCTCCTTCATCTGGGGCAAGTCGATACACCTCACCCTATTACTCATCTTTCTCTTCATCGTTAAACTCTTCCACGACGCCCTGATTAATAAGTGAGACTACTATGCCCGTAGGACAGCCGAAGGGTATGTAGAGAACCTTCTCCTGCTTCTTCTCGCTCTAATTCAGACTTTCATTCTCATGTTCAGGCTTGTTAGTCTCTCCCAAGGTGCCCTTGTCAGTCGTGGTAATTGTAGGTGGTTGTTCGCCAGAATGTTGTTGCCTAAAGGACGATTGTTGCCTACTCAACTGTTGTTGTTTCTCTACCTTCAAGGCTCCCAACGTCCAGTACGGTTGCAGTTGCACCACATTGCTAACGGCAGGCTTCAGTCCCCCAAGAATTTCTGCTATTGTATGCTCTTTGGGTTGTATCAGTTCGCACTTTAGTTGTAAGTGATCGAACTGGGCTGCGAATTCCTCAACTGAAAGATTCCACTGCTACAAGTTATGGAGTTTCAAGAAAAGATACTGACGATAGTGGGGTTGAAGGTACTTTTTATGCATTGCCTTCTTCATCGTCGCCCACCTAGGATCTTCTCACCATCTTCTCTGTCCCTCTGCTTCTG